AGCTTTTTTATTAATATTCTATTTGTTTTGCTACATATTCCGCACATCCAATTGCAATAACTCTTTCAGTCGCTTTGTCCAAGTCTTTCTATCTTTGTTATTTTTACTCGAATAATATTAATATAATTAATATAATAATTATATGTTATTATAACTAATAATTACTAATAAGTAATTAGAATAAATTAATAACAAACAGTTTTAGAGGAAAGTGTCTCGACAAGGGAATTAGAGAAGAGTTCAATTTGGTAGACATTATTCGTTTCATTTTGTTCGTCATTTTGTCTGATATTGTAATTCACCTTTTCGAAAAGAGAAACGGCCTCTTTCAACGTGTCTTGGAAAGTCAAGACGTATTTTTTGACTTCACTGTCCAATTCTGTCTCAATTGATTTCAAGAGTCTGTCCAAGTTTGATGTGTCGATGGTCATTCCCAATATTTCAATTGACGATTTAGTTGCAGTCACTGTGTTTGTACAGTAACTTAAAAATTTGGAGAGTACATTGATTGTCTCCGTATAACACCCTCTTCGTGTTTTGACGAGCTACCCATTACAAATTGCAATAAAATGACATCAACAAACCTTATAAAATGAAGCAACGTAAATTGAAATAGTATACAAGACATTAGCAATTATTACACTATTGTTAGTAAATAATGCATTAGTCGATGCACCAGAAATTGTTATAAAGAAATGTTCAATTGCGTCATAAACATGAGACTCGTATTGTTCACTAACTTCACTTGTCACCTTTTCAAGTCTCTCGGCTTCAAATTTTTGATACCTCAAAACAACCTTTGATTTGCTATCTGCGAAGTTTGCATAATTCGGAGATTGTTCAAGAAGCTTCAGATAATTGTTTTCACACTCAGTAACAGTGTGTAAGTATGCAGAGTCGTACTCAATTTTTGGAGATGGCATTGCGATAAACTTTGCGACAAAAATTTTGGGATATGAAATTAAAAATTCCAAAAAATCTGAAATCAAAATGACGATTATAAAATTTTTGTCGAATGGTTGCAGTGCGTCTTCGGAGCCGTCGAAAAATGAAAGTTGCTCTTCGAGATGATTTGAAATAGATGAGAAAAAATCAAAAACCGTTTGAAATTCCACCACTCGGTTGAGTCTTCCCATTGCGACAAAATTTTGTTTTGTCGCAAAGTAATTTTCAATCGATAATTGAGCTCTTTGTGCTTCAGCATTGAATAGAATTTGATAATACTTTTTTGCCAATTCAGCAGATGACATGCCATTCACATATGAGACAACACTAATCAATAAATCAAAAACCTCCAACTGAATTTTTGGAAACTTTTTACGCGAAGCAATTAAATCCAAAGTAGTGGAAGCAGCAATTTTAATTGATTCTTGAGCGTCTTGTGATAGTTTAAAATACAATGGACGTTGTGGCGATTTCATTAATGATACTAAATTTTGAAGAGTTGGATTTCGTAATGGAGACAATATTTGTGTGAGTTGTGTTTGGGGTAGATCAATGGGAGAATCAATTGTACTTTGGTCAACACCCATCAACCAAAGTTTATTTTTGAGTTTGTTTATGATTTTTTCTTTAAGTTTAAAGTTAAAGTAAATATTATATTATTATAAGTTTGAATAAATTATTATTATTATTTATTAATAGTAATAAAATAGTATTAATGTAGTAATTAATTACAATTTATATATGTACTATAAAATTAGTTTCTAGAATTATAATATTATTTTTGATTCAATATAAAAAATTATGGTTTATTATTAAAATGTATAATAATTAAAAAAATAAGTTATAAAATAAATTATTACAATAAATTGTTTTTTATATTTTTGGGTCATACAAATAAATTATTTTATAATATAGAGTCAGTCTTTTAACGTTATCTGGTCTCAAACGTTATC